CTTAAAGGTAAACAACAAAAGTACGCAACAATAAGGTAATAAATAAAAGCTACAAAGTGGGTATACTGCAAACTAGTTCTAACGAACGCTCGAATGTTGTCGACAGTACACGGACGTTGCAACTACACGGCTGCTGGATGTGGCACGCACGGCTACGCACGACTTATAAAATTTATTGAGTTTTCGTTTATATCTTTAGAAATTAACCACGTCACGTAGTATTTATTTTTATTTAGTGTTTATAAGTATGTATGTATAGGTTTTTTTAATTATTATTACTTAATTTATGTTTTGTCAAAGATATATGATTTGAGCCTTTTTTTTTAAATAGTCATGCTAGTAGATTCTTTTATTAAAAGTGGCAGCGCGTTGTACATTTTAACCCCTTCGTATTCTATGCTTTTTTACCGTAGTTAGTTCTGGGTGGACGTGTTACTAGGTAGTTAGAGTTCGTAGCTTGATTTTTTGTGATTCTTGTTTTTTTGTAAATGACGAGGTGGTGTGAATGTCTTTCTTTAATATTTTTCGTATTAGTATGCATGTATACTATGTGTAAGTTTGTTTTATATTCATTATCTTAGTGTCGTCATATATTTTTTGTGTGGAAGTCCGGTATTTATAGTTAAATAAAAATTTTATCAGTCTGTTTTGTGCCCTTTGGATAGGTTCAAGATTCGTTCTAGCCGCCGCCCCCCAGACCTCTATTAAATAATCAATGTGAGGTTTTATCAATGAAATATATATCAAGAATCGTACTTTATGGGGGAGACATTTTTTTATATGGTGGAGAGCCCCCGAGAGTGATATTAATTTAGATCTGACACTTTCTATGTGAGACTTCCAGCTCAAGGAGCTATCTAATGTTAGGCCTAAATATCTTTCTTTAGTTTTTCAATGAATTAGTTGATCGTCGATTTTAAGCTCAATATTGTCAGGAATAATTTTATTTTTTGCAGCAAATACGAGTATGACATAATTAGTTATAGAAATTCACAGAGCTGGAAGAACTTTGATGTTCACCTATCTTCACTATTTGCCGCCTATTGGACATGTATGATTTAAAAATGTCGAGTGCTTTGTTTTTAACTCCGATGGCTGATAATTTTTGGATTAATATATCTGGACTAATAGTATCAAAAGCTTTTTTAAGGTCAATAAAAATGCCTAGGGCAACTTGTTTTTTGTTAATGTTCGTTTTAATTTTTGTTATGAGGTCTACTGTGGCCGAAAGGGTGTTTGATTGTGGTCTAAATCCGTATTGCTTATGGTAGAAGAAGTTTTTCGAGTTGAGAAACGTTTCTAAGCGGTTATAAAGAATTTTCTCGTAATTTTTTAGATGGTGGGGAGGACATATATAGGACGGTAATTACATGGATCTACTTTGCTTCCAGATTTATAAATTGGCACTACTTTTGCTATTTTCAGTTCGTCGGGAAAGATGTATTGGTCGAAACAGAAGTTAATAGATTGTACCAGTTTCAGAGCAATAAACTTTTCGACACATTTTAGAGTTTTAGTGCTAATGCCGTCAATTCCAGTGCCAGTATTTGGATCTAGGCTGTCTATTATTTTAATGACTTCTTCCTCAGTTGCCGGTGTAATGTATCTCAGTTCTGTTTCATTGTTTCGTCTTGCTTCAGATAAATTATGTTCGCATGTTTCAGCCAAATTTCCTGTAGATGTATTAGCGATGAGATTTGCCAGGGACGATCCGATTGTCGAGAAATAAGAGTTGAGACTTTCACATATTGTCCTATGGTCTGTAATACTACCATTTTCAGTTTCAAGTTTACTAGGTCCATTCATATCTCTTGTTTTGTTTTGTGAGAGATCGTTGACAATTTGCCACATTTTTCTAGGTTCATGTTCATGTTGTCCTTAAAGAGTTTGAAGTAATAAGCATTTTTTGTTTGTTGTATATTATGTAATACACTAGCCTTCGTTTTTTCATAACACGTTCTTACCGTAATATCTAACATATTCGATTTATATAAATGCCATAGTCTATTTCGTTCGTTAATACCATCAATAATTTCTTGTTTTATCCAGTCTCTGCGTGGAGGATTTAATACTTTTATTTTCGTTATTTTACTCATGTTTAAGCCCATCTGTAGCTCTTTGACTAACTTCTCGTAAGTCGGCTCTTCGTGGTTAGTCTTGGGCAGTTCTTCAAAATACTTGAACAATGTTGTGTGATTGATTGCGGTGTATTCTATTTTCGTGACCAGTGGTGGATTGTAGATAACTGCTTGTGGTCAGACATCGAAGAGTCCATAATCGCAAAGTAGAAGTTATTGTCTTGGAGGTTCGAGGATACATGATCTAGTATAGTTTTGGTCGTGAATGTTTCTTGAGTGCAGTCATCATCAGTCTATCGCAGTCCACTGCTGGACATAGGCCTCTCCCATTGCACGCCACTTAGATCGATTTTGGGCTTCTCGCATCCAGCTCCTGCCAGCCATCTTGCGCAAATCGTCACTCCACCTGGCCTGTGGGCGTTTACCGAGACGCGGTCTCCACTCAACAACTCGTTTTCCCCAACGGGTGCAGTGCTTTTTATCAATTTCGTTCAATATTTTATAATTACTTTCTCTTAATGTTTTCTTATAATTACGAATAGTATTATCTGAACTTAATAAATCCAAATTAAAATCGCCGAAAACTATTGCTCTTTTCATTTTTTGGAGCTGCTCTGAATATGTCTCAAGAAAGTCACCAATGTTTGTTTTGTCGGGTTTATACACCGCACCAATATTCAAGGAAAACTTCTTAACGTATCCAGAGATATTGTATCTCGTTGATGCAACGTTCTTCAACAAGGTTGTGCTGTAAGTTGTTGTGGACATAGATTGATACACCTCCTCCTCTTCTATTCGATCTAAAGTTATAGTAATGCGTGTATCCTTCAATATAGAGTCTTTTAGCTTCTTCTTCGCTTTTGATCCAGGTTTCTGTCAGTATAATTAAATGTGTGGTAGATTTTAACGAAGTAATCATACATTTAAGTTCATCAAGCCTGCCAGGCTTGACAATACTACGTACATTAGCATAGAAGAATTTAAGTGATTTTTTAGTAAAAGCCAGGTCTTCGTAATTATTTATAATTTGGTATGATATTTTCTCTGTATTCGTGATTAGTTTTTGAAGTAGGAATTGAATTTTCCGTAGATTTTATAATTTTCGGGGTGCCCTTGATATATTTGATTCTGAGATCTGCTTCGCCGTTAGCTGTTCTTTTCTGTAGATTTTCTTTTAGGTCTTGCAAGTACTTTTTTTGATATGGGGTCTGATCGGAATAAAGTTTGATGGAATCCGTATCAAGGCTATTTTTATGTCGCAAAATTGTTTTAACAGTCTCTTCAGATGAGAAACATATTTTAATTGGTCTCGTAGTCTCCGGCTTAAATTTTCCGAGACGAAAGATTTTATCTGGTTGGAGACAGTCTTTATGTATCAGGTGTATTATTTTCATAACTTCTTTCTTTTCATATTCTTGTCGTTCATGTGTTGAGTTTGATTTGCACTCGGGGATTCCAATAATTATAATATTTTTAGCACGCAGTTTCCTTTCTTGAATTTCTTTTATAATTTCTTCTTGACATACTTGTGCTGGTTTGAATTTAAGGTTATTAACATCGCCCTCTAATATTTTTATTTTTTTTTCAGTGGTTTCTGTCATAGTCTTTAGAGTAGTTATTTCGACTTTTAAATATTTGTTTTCTGAGATGATGCTTTCGATAGTATTACTAATATTTTCGACCTCATTCTTTATATCAGCAACATCTTGACAGAGTTTATTAATGTTGTCTCTTTGATCATAGTTCGACGTTCGTCGACGTTAAAATTGCCATCATATCGGACATTTGCTTTCGCAGCTCAGATAACTCATTTCTAATCACTTCATTGTCATCAGGTAATTTACGTTTGCTACGAATAGTAATTTGCGAAACATCGTTTGTGTGTAATTCAGATAAGTTTGGCTGAGAACCTCCCCGAGGCGTATTGGAGCCACTTCCAGTAGGTGAGCGTAGGCAATTCATTGTATATCTGTGTATTGTTACTACTCACGTGCGATGTGAAGAGGGCAGCACCGAGGCCTGCGCGGGATGCTCAGAAAGCTTTCGTTGCAACTACTTCGATAATCCGCAGGCAAAATGATGCACTAAGCCGGTTGTGATATGATTCAGAATAGGTTGCAGTGAATTTAATATATTTTGCAAAAATAAGCGACACGTCTGCTCTGTACCAACACTTATGTGAGATAAAAAGATAAAATAAAATAAAAAGATAAAAAGATGCTTTTAAAATCATTAACCCCCGTTTGTTTGTTCTATCCCATTTTAATCTCATATTATGTAAACCTTGCTGTAGGTCTATCAAAAATTTTAATCACTTGCCTCTTCCACTCTCATCCGATTATCACTTTCATCATCACTGTCGTTATCACCCACGTTACGACTATAATTTGAGACACCTATACTATTAGAATTATCCATAAATAAATTGTTACCAACTTTTGTTTTCATCATCATAAGCTTATCGTAGTCCCCTGCTGGACATAGGCCTCTCCCACGGCACCCCAATTTTGCTTCACTGTATACCAATGCCAAAACCAACCTTCCACGCCCTCGGCCAAGACTACTACTACTAATATTAGGCTTATTAACTTAATGACTATTCTTTACGAAGCTTTGGTTTTGAGTAAATAACGGCTTACTTACCTTAGTTAATAACTTTCGTTTACTAAGCTTTGGTTATTAGTAGAAATATTTGACTCTGGGACGTATTCGTCGTCCCTTTGCGAAGTATCTCTACTGTGTAACAATGCAAGCAACCTTCCACGTCCGCGGCCAACACTACAATTACTAATATTAGCCTCATCCCTTTGCGATGCAGCTCTTATATTAGTAATTAGTTTTCCACGTCCGCAGCCAACACTACTATTACTAATATCAGCCTCATCCCTTTTGCGATGCAGCTCTTATATTAGTAATTAGATTTCAACGTCCACGGTCAACACTACTATTACTAATATTAGCCTCATCCCTTTGCGATGCAGCTCTTATATTAGTAATTAGTTTTCCACGTCCGCGGCCAACACTACTATTACTAATATCAGCCTCATCCCTTTGCGATGCAGCTCTTATATTAGTAATTAGATTTCCACGTCCGCGGCCAACACTACTGTTACTAATATTAGCCTCAACCCTTTGCGATGCAGCTCTTATATTAGTAATTAATTCATTTTCCGTTTTAGTGATACTGTTAGTATCTTTGATTTTATTTAAGTTATTCTTAGTTTCAGAGTTGATCGTAGAGCTACTACTTAATTGACTAAGATTATTATTATTAGTAAATTGTGCAGAATCACCCGTAACTAAATTGTTACCAACTTTTGTTTCACTGTGTAAAAATGCAAGCAACCTTCCGCGTCCGCGGCCAAGACTACTATTACTAATATTAGCCTCATCCCTTTGCGATGCAGCTCTTATATTAGTAATTAGTTTTCCACGTCCGCGGCCAACACTACTATTACTCATATTAGCCTCATCCCTTTGCGATGCAGCTCTTATATTAGTAATTAGTTCATTTTCCGTTTTAGTGATACTGTTAGCATCTTTGATTTTATTTCAGTTATTCTTAGGTTCAGAGTTGATCGTAGAGCTACTACTTAATTGACTAAGATTATTATTATTAGTAAATTGTGCAGAATCACCCGTAACTAAATTGTTACCAACTTTTGTTTCACTGTGTAACAATGCAAGCAACCTTCCACGTCCGCGGCCAACACTACCATTACTAATATTAGCCTCATCCCTTTGCGATGCAGCTCTTATATTAGTAATTAGTTCATTTTCCGAGTTAGTGATACTGTTAGCATCTTTGATTGTATTCAAGTTATTCTTAGTTTCAGAGTTAATCGTAGAGCTACTACTTAATTGACTAAGATTATTATTATTAGTAAATTGTGCAGAATCACCCGTAACTAAATTGTTACCAACTTTTGTTTCACTGTGTAACAATGCAAGCAACCTTCCACGTCCGCGGCCAACACTACCATTACTAATATTAGCCTCATCCCTTTGCGATGCAGCTCTTATATTAGTAATTAGTTCATTTTCCGAGTTAGTGATACTGTTAGCATCTTTGATTGTATTCAAGTTATTCTTAGTTTCAGAGTTAATCGTAGAGCTACTACTTAATTGACTAAGATTATTATTATTAGTAAATTGTGCAGAATCACCCGTAACTAAATTGTTACCAACTTTTGTTTCACTGTGTAACAATGCAAGCAACCTTCCACGTCCGCGGCCAACACTACCATTACTAATATTAGCCTCATCCCTTTGCGATGCAGCTCTTATATTAGTAATTAGTTCATTTTCCGAGTTAGTGATACTGTTAGCATCTTTGATTGTATTCAAGTTATTCCTAGTTTCAGAGTTAATCGTAGAGCTACTATTTAATTGACTGAGATTATTATTATCAGTAAATTGTGCAGAATCACCCGTAACTAAATTGTTACCAACGTTTGCTTTACTGTGTAACAATGCAAGCAACCTTCCACGTCCGCGGCCAACACTACTATTACTAATATTAGGCTTACTAACTAAATGACTATTCTTTACGAAGCTTTGGTTTTGAGTAAATAGCGCAGAATTTTGAATAACTGTGCTGACTTTCAATTTATTATTGTTTGGTGTACTTTTTGTTTTTGTATCATGTTTTTTAACCTTTTTGTTTAATTTACTTTCACTTGAAACTTTTGTTGGTTCGTCATTTTTTCTGTCATGAAATTTATTATCATTATTAACAATGGCTTTCACACCCCCAATTAACGTCAAATCATCACGATTTTTCCTACTTTTATTCTCACATGTTTCACATAAGAGATTACTCTGTTTACTATCATCCTGACATTGCCCAGACGTCCCCACTACATTTGCCATCAAGTCCCACGCGTGGAGATACACACCCGCCTAAGCGAACAGTGCGTTATAATCATCGTTGGTGATTTCGCAGACAAACTGATCCTGTTCTATCGGTTTCTTGATCCAGCGGCCGAGATTAGCCTTTTCGAAGGCATCTATGAAACGGGTCTTGGCAAGCTGTGGAAGTTGTACGATGATATAGGATTTACAAAGGCATGAAAACCAGAAGAGATCACTTTATAAATTTTCCTATTTAATTACAATTAACGGTATACAGTAGGGTGTCCCGAATTTTTTTTATTCTTATTTTAGCTACTTAAGACCTCTCAAAAGTTGCGCTGTTAGACGTAGATTAGCGTAAAAATAATTCAAAAAATATTTAAAAATATCCTTACGGCTCTACCAGCATTTTTATTTACTGAAAATTCGCAAAAACAACCTTGTAGTCAATGTCGTATATTCTATGTTTTATGAATCAATCCTGTATTGTCTTGTAATTTTATCAATAAGAAAAGCCTCGGCTATGATTTGCAAGTATCGACAGGTTGTTTTAGCGATCAATCGGTTTGTATCGGACTTGCAAAATTCCTACAAAATTCATGTTTTGACTTGATTTTCGTACGTGCGCTACTTCTACAACAAGACAGTTCGTCTCATTTCTATTTCGATTTTACTCTTGTAAGGAGTTGTTCTATTCTTCTTTGAAAGAAAAACGTAATTTGCGTTACTTAATCATAAAAATGTGTTCAAGGCGAAGTGAGACTACTTGTACTATATTGGGACCTTATAAAGAACTTGACGATCGCCAATTACCTGTTATAAAGACGTTATTAAGTGCATTTTATTTACTAAACGCAGAAGTCTTTTCAATAGTTTCTGGAAAACTTAACACAATTTGGACCAAAGCTTCAATTCCCATCGTTTCTAACGTACGGATTACTCAACTGCTAACCGCATATTTTAACAAATATTTATCACTAATGAGATATCCTAAAAGTAAGAGAAACGATAGCTATGACAACAAAGTTAAGTGCTTTTTGGAATCGTCAAATAAGCTTTTTGACATCGCTGCTTGTAAGTGCACTTCGTTTGAAAATTGTTCCTCTACTAAACCCAAGAAAGTTCCCATTTCTGAAAGAGATTTTTTACTGGACCAAAGAAATGATAGGAAAATGGCAATAAGCGGCGTAGACGCAAAAGAAACTGCAAGGCTTTTAAAGAAATATCAAAGACAAGAAAATTTGAAGCGGACAGAGCAAGCATGTTTTCCGAGTACTTCACAAACCGATACTGTACCGGTACGCGTGTTGCCGCTTCGTTCACAGTCGCTTTCAATAGAACCTTCTACTAAAAGTGACTTAAAGGAGTCTCCATCTAATTCATTTAGTCGGAACACTCTGACGCTGCCAACAGTAGCTAAGGTATGTGATTGATACGGACTATCAACGCGTTCGGCAGCTGCAGTCGCTTCAGCAGTCTTAGTTGACGTAGGAATGGTATCTTCCGAAGATCCAAAACCTTGTGATTGATAAAAATAAGATTCACAGAGCTGTTTCAAAGTCACGTACCCGAGCCAGCAATGACATCGATAAAATTATTATAAAGAGTAGCTACTTCGATGGGCGAAAAGATAAAACTCTCAAGATCAATAAAATAGACAGCCGGTACCACCGAAAAGAAGTCTTAGAAGAACACATTTCAGTTCTTACAGAGCCGGGATCTATTTACTTGGGACATACGACGCCGAGTCGAGGTACTGCGAAAGGGATTGTCACTTCTATTATAGAATTGTTAGAAAATCAAGGATGGAACTTAGAAGAAGTAAGTTGTGTGGGTTGCGATGGCACTCCTACAAATACAGGTTGGAAAGGAGGTGTCATTAAATACCTGGAAGAATATTTGAAGAGACCGTTACAATGGTGTGTTTGTATGCTTCACACAAATGAATTACCGCTTCGCCATTTGTTTATGTCTCTAGATGGTAGCACATCTGGGCCGAAAGAATACTCAGGACCTATTGGAAAACAGCTAAATGTTTGTGAAAGTAAACCACTAGTGTCTTTTTGTGCAGTGGCTGGCAATTTGCTCGAATTACCTGATGACATTGTGAAGGAACTAAGTACGGATCAAAAGTATCTGTATGAAATGTGTCATGCTGTGACGACTGGTTCTTGTTCCCCTGAGTTAGCGAGCCGCCAACCTGGAAAAATGGCGCATTCAAGATGGCTAACTACTGCCAATCGCATACTCAGACTTTATGTAAGCACTGTTTCGCCATCAAATAATTTAAAGCTGCTTGTCAATTATGTGGTCAAAGTTTATGCTCCAGTTTGGTTCCTCATTAAGAAAAACTCATCATTCAAAGATGGAGCCAATCATATTTTTCAAATGGTTACATATTCCCGATTTTTGCCTGATAAGCAAAGATCTATTGTGAATTCAGTGATCGAGAGAAACGCTTTTGTTACCATGCTATTCGACGACAGAGAGCATATTCGAGAGCTTGCAGCTCGCAAAATATTAAAGGCAAGAGAAGCAGAAATAAGCAATACTCGCAGGGTATTTAAAGTACCAAAACTTAACTTCGATGCGCGATATTACATCGATTTGATATTTTGGCAAGAGTGTGAGATATCCGCTCCACCGATTTTGCGACAGATGTCCGACGACGAACTGAGAATTAAGGCTAAAGAACAAAGCTTCGATGTTATTGATTTCCCCTGTCATACACAATCAGTGGAAAGATGTGTAAAGCTAGTGACGGAGGCTTCTCTAAGTGTCACGGACGCTACAGCTCGGGATGGTTTAATCAGAAACAGATTAAAATCTCGCGCAGAAATGCCTAATTTTGGCCACAAGAACCAATTTCGTATTTGAAATAAGCACTAATTATAAGTATTTAAACTTTACTGAACATTACCTTATGTCTTTGTAGTACCTATAAATTTGATTAAAACCTTTAAAACATTATTTTTGTATCATTTATAGTTTATGTTCGAAACCTCTAAAAATGGCAAATTTGAAAAACTTCTAGGATCGGTAGAGGCCTAAAGATGACAAATATTTAATTAAATTTTGTTATATTTGTAATCTATTCACAAAAACGCAACTTTTGATACCTCTTGCATAGCCGTCGCTTTAAAAAAAAAAATCCCATACATTGACGGGACACCCTAGTATACAGGTGTTGCAGAAAGGTGTTGTGTGAAAACAATTGTTTTTTAAAGAAAATTATTTTTTTACTTAATTACAACCCGCACATCCCGTTTGGTCCCATTAAAATTCGAAAAAAATAATAACCCTAGGGGTGAAAATTAAGGAACGAAGAATACAGTTTTCTGCAATTTCTAAGATGGATGATTGTTTAGCCCTTCAGCAAGATGTTGATCGAATATCGGAGTGGTGTAAAACCAATTTGATGTCCTTAAATGTTAATAAGTGTTTTATAATATCATTTACTCTAAAGCGTAATAAACTTATCTTGGACTAAAATATTGATGGTCAAATAATAAATCGGACACAGACTGTAAAAGACTTAGGCATCATTTTTGATGACAAACTTTCATTTCGCGCTCATTATAGCCATGTAATATGCAAGGCCAACCAACTCCAAGGCTTTGTTTTGAGATCAACGAAAGGTTTTAGAAATCCCAGCAGTACTTTGTACCTATATTTTGCTCTGGTGAGGAGTATATTAGAATATGGTAGCCCGATATGGTCGCCTAATTACAAGGTCCATATTGATGATATTGAACGTATTCAGAGAAGATTCATTAAAATTCTCAACTACCGAGAAAGCCCTGGTCGGTCAAATTTAAATTACGAAAGCAGACTCAGCAAATATAAGGTCCAGCCATTACAAACCCGACGCACCTATGTCGATTTGGTTTATCTCTACAAAATTATACATTATATTATTGATTCACCGGAGTTACTTTCTCTAATCAGTTTTAATATTAAATTTAGTGCCCGTAGGGCTAATGATACGAATATATTTGCCCTTCAAATATACAAAAATAACATCTCTTACTATAATCCATTAACAAGAATGGCCCGTCAATATAATGATATCTCTAAATCCAATAAATTACTAGACGTTTTTGATCCTAACTATAACAAATATACTAAATTGGTGAAAGACATCCTCCATGGTGGGCTGCGTTTGGATTAGCATTCAAATCTACATCACAATTGCTGCTTGCTTACTTTGTCACTTATTTTTGTATTACTTGTAGTATTATGAATCAGAGATAATTTTTGTATAATCTTCATTGTTTTTCTTTGTGTTCATTTCAGTTACGTTACGATCCAGATCTAGACGATGTATTTATGATTTATGTTTTAATTAATTGTGATGTGTTTTGTGCATTTAATAAACAAAATAAAAATAAAAAAATAAAAATTAAAACAGTCCGTATTCAAATTGGTGATAGTTTTTTGTAAGATACCCATGCTGATATAATTATTTAAAATTCAGATATTTCACGAGCAATCTCGATTATTGGTTAGAATAAGAATAAGAAAAACTTTATTTGTCTTTTTACATCGAGTACTTAAAATTAATAACAATGCTTTAATAAAAATAATACTTGAAAGACAAAATGGCCTTGGGCTCAGCGTGTGGATGACAGTGCAATGCATGCCATCCGCTGTTATTCTGCCCAAGCCAGTCATGGTTAACAGTCTTAGAGTAAACACAACGACAACACCCAGATCACGACCCGACCACATTGGTGTACGTAAACATTATCACTCAACACTTCGGTAACAATGCAATTGTTGCTATGGATTTTACATTAGTTTAGTAAAGTTAGCATAACAGTAAGTTACGAGTATATGAATAGATTGCTGTTATGAACACAGATCAATGTATAACATTATTGAGTAGCCGCCTCAGATTGCCTTACTAACAACCACCTGCTGCAACGTGATTTAAATGCCCCTAATAGTAGATATAATATGGGTGGGGGTAGGACATTCCAACATTTGCAAGCGGTTATTTTTATTATTCGGATTAA